CCAGGAGTGTGCCACTGCACTCCAGCCTGAGCAACAGAGTGAGACTCCAACTCAAAAAAAAAAAAAAAAAAAAAAAAGAAAAATTAGTCAGGCGAGGTGGCACTGTGGTTCCACCTACTTGGAAGCCTGAGAGGCAGGAGGATCGCCTGAGCCCAGCAGGTTGAGGCTGCAGTGGCTGTGAGTATGCCACTGTGCTCCAGCCTGGGCAACGGAGTAAGATTCCGACTAAAAAAAGAAAAGAAAAGAAAACAATGTGCTGCTCCCCAGACAGGCAAAAAAAGCCTTATAGCTAAAAGACCTGAAGAGTACCTCGTGAGTGCTCTTTATAGCCCCCAACATTCATAGATGAAAACCTACAGGCACTCTATAGAAAGGCCAGAAGGTGTCTGCTGGTAGATCTTGGAACAGTCCCTCATCAAAACAGCCTTTTTGGCATCAGTCTCTCTTATTCTTGGTAAATCTCCTTTCTTCTGGCCTGCTTTTAAGTCATATAATTTAAAGAAGGCAGAATGGGGCTCAAGAGGCTGAACACCTTGAGGCCTCCCATTTCATGATTACAGCCTTTATTTCATTAGTTTGCCAATTTGACCTTCATTCCTGCCAGCCAGGTCCACATAAACAGCTGAAGCATGATCCTCCTTTTATAAGTCAGTGTTTACAGCCCTTTAAATTATGCATTCTTTCATTTGTGCAAACTGGGCCAGGAGAGGGACTTATAGAACATCCTCACTCCAATTAAACCCTTATGTTGTTTGGACACAAAACAATAAATGTATGGAAGCAAAATCCATTGCCAGATTTTAACAGAAGAAAGGAGGAAGCAAACATTAGAACAGAGCAGACACCCCTGAATATAATGCAGAACGAGAAGGCAAGAAAGTGATAACACAAGATGGACTGTTTATATTCCTTTCTCAATTGAGTCGCATGTCTTGAAAATAAAATAGAGGGGGATGGGATTAACAGTCGCAAATATCTGTCTGGGGATGGGGAAACACCTCTTATCAACAGGGTGCCTGAATGAAACGTAATTGTACACCTAACCCTTAACTGTACCCCACAAAATCATAATAAAAAATACTGATTAAAAAAAAGAAAAGAAAATAGAAAAGCTCTGCAAATCGAAAAAAGGAAGTAGCTTCTAACCCTTGTCTAGACTCTGGAATGAACAAGCAAACCTGATTATTATCAGTGTTAAGCAATATTTGCCAATTTCTATGAAACTGTGAATGTAAAGAGAGGCCTGTGAGTCATGAACATAGGAGAGGAAATTAACTGCAATATTTACTGCGCAGACTGTGACTCATCACTTTTCTGGGAGAAAGCTTGGTTGCTCTCAATCTTATCAAGTCACATTAGCTCAGAGATTACTTGTATATTGATTGCAGTTATGTTTTACATGCAAGATTCTGAAAAACCATCAAGACTCCTGAATATTATTTCTTTTTTTTTTAATTGGAGCCTTACTCTGTCACCCAGGCTTGGAGTACAGTGGCATGCTCACGGCCACTGCATTCTTGACCTGCTGGGCTCAGACAATCCTTCCGCTTCAGCCTTCCAAGTAGCTGAAACTACAGGTACACACCACCATTCCTGTCTAATTTCTTTGATTTACTGTAGAAACGAGGTCTTCTCGCCATGTTACTGAGGCTGGTCTTTAATCCATGAGCTCAGGCAACCCTCTCGCCTCCACCTCCCACAGTTCTGGAATTACAGGCATGAGCCACTGAGCCCGGCTGATATTATTTCTTCAAGTAAAATTCAGGGGAGAAACAAATTAGCAAAAAAATATTAACACAGGTAAGATCTACCTTAAGAAAACATGATGGGCAATAATTTAGTCTTCCAAAATAGATCAACTAGGGATTAGTTATTTGTCTTGGCTGGGATTCTTTATTATGCTCTGCAAGCCCCTTCTATCTCTGCAATGGAAAAAACCATGATGTTTATCAAAAGACAATTGGTTAAATAAATTATGTATTTCCACATAATGAAACATTAGGCAGCTTTAAAAAGAATGGAAGAAAATCGGTTTGTAAGTGAGCTGGAAATATATGCAAGTGTGGAATAGTGATAATAGGTTTTTCTCTCTTTGTAAAAGCTTAGAATATACACTGACAGTGTCTATATGAACCATTGCTCTTATTATCTCTTAAGAGAATTCTCAGCTGCGTACAGTAGCTCATGCCTGTAATCCTAGCGCTTTGGGAGGTCAAGGGAGAGGACCGCCTAGCCCAAGGGTGAGAGATCAGCCTAGACAACCTGGCGAGACATGGGAGTGGTGTTGCTTGCCTGTGGTTCCAGCTACTTGAAAGGCTGAGGTGGAAAGATCGCCTAAACCCAGCAGGTCAAGGCTGTGGTGGTTGTGAGTGTGCCACTTCACTCCAGCCTGTGCGACAGAGTGAAACTCCAACACACACACACACACACACACACACAAAAGAAAGAGTATTATTCTCTTAACAGTGGTTATGGTGGGGGAAGGTTGAGGACTATAGAAAGATTTCCTATACTAACTGACATATTTCTGTAGTAGTTTTTTGTTTGTTGTTTTACAATAAATATGTATTACTTTTGGCAAAAAAAATGCAATTATAAATAAAAGTGATCAAAAAATAGAAAAATTTGGATGCCATTTATTTCGAATATTACTGATTAGAATTTGGTTTTCTTTTCTTTTTTTTTTTTTTTTTTTGAGTTGGAGTCTCATGGGTTCGAGACCCGCCTGGGCAACTTGGCGAGACCTCATCTCTACAATAAATCAAAAATTAGCCGGGCATGGTGGCGCATGCCTGTAATTCCGGCTACTGGGAAGGCTGAGGTAGAAGGATCACCGGAGCCCAGCAGGTCAAGGCTGCGGTGGCCAGGAGCAGCCACTGCACTCCAGTCTGAGTGACAGAGTGAGACTCCAACTCAAAAAAAAAAAAAAATTCAAATATAAGCAGGGCAGTATTACTCATATTCCTCCAGGAAATTTATATTGATCTTGGTCACAGGGCTTATGGAAATAAACTGCTAACTGTATGATTACATACATGCTCTCTTGCTGGCCCACTATCAGTTGCTGAGTGATGCTTTTTTGTTTTCATTGATAACTTCTGATAAGGAGCCTTAATGCCCAGCTAGTCTGACCCAGGAGAGCTGGATCAGTATTGGAAGGGGTGGAGGTGCTGTGGCTTGCTCTAGGCCACCCTTTTGTGTGATCTGTGTCAGTTTCGCAACCATAAAATGGGGAGAGGAGGTGAGCTTTATTCATTTTCATAATTCAAGGAAGACTGTGAATACCAATTAAATTTACAAGAACATTTATAAGATGAAGAGCTTTGGGGTATGATTACAGGGCTGCTTTATGAAGAAAATGGCTGTTTTCCTAATACACATTAAAGCAAGAGACAGATGGAAGTGATCGGAATATTTAAGGCTGTGATGTCGGGCTGTGATAGCACAGGGTACCTGACCATGGTCTGTTATTAGAGGCCATTGTTCTACTCCTGTGACCTCAGTGATGGCAGTGTAGCACAGGCAGGGTGGCAAAACCAACCAGGGCACCATGAGTCAGTCTTTATGTCACTATAACACTAAGGAAACCAAGAGCAGCTGGATAATTATCTCTGTGGCTTCATCAATTTTTACATGGGCAAAAATGTGTTGTACACTTGTGCTTGGTCAAGAGAAGCAGTTTCATAATCAACTCTTAAATGGAAATTAATGCAACTTATTTAGCCCTGGAAATCCAAATTTGATAGATAATGACCCTTTATTATATAGCACATAACTGATTTTTCAGTACAAAAAGCAGACATGTTTTCTGCAGAAAATTGTTTTTTGTTTTTTTTTTTTTTGAGTTGGAGTCTCACTCTGTCACTCTGTAGCCTCGACCTGCTGGGCT